TAGGGTTAGTTTGGGTTTGATGAATTGTTCTTTGTCATGGAAGAATCTAATCTCTCCATTAAGTTTGATAGATAGTTTTGTAGGATACATAAATTTGGAGTCAATATTTTTTACTTTCAGGACCTCAAATATTTCACACCAAGCTCTTCTTGATTTGATGGTCTGTGTTTGGAAATCTGCCATGATTCTAATGGGCTATCCATCATAGACGATCAGTTTTTTTTCTCTATGAACTTTTAGTAGTCAGTTCTTCTGCTCAATTACTGGGATACTGATTATTATATTTATGTATGATGATTTATTTTGATCATAGCTAGCTAGAGTTTTATATGCCTCACTTATCTATTTATCAGATCTTTTCCCATGCTTGTGAAATTTTCTGGTTCTACTTCTTTAAACATTCTGTTTTGTTCTTCTGTGTTCACTCCAGCTGTTTTATTGATACCTATTAGTCTCATATTATTTTTCTTTTCATCATCTTGAGGCTATTATATTGTTATTTCCTGGTTCCTTCTTATTTTTAAGAGGTATTTCCTTTTCATGTTCACTAGCTGAATGAATTTCTTAATTCCTGGATATCTATTTGAATCTATTTCATGTGTTCTAGTTCTTTCCTGTATTGTTCATTGTTTCCAGCATTTTCCCATTCCTTTCTACTTTTTAAATCTATGTTTTCCTTAGATGTCTTGAGCACTTCTTTCATGATTGTTATCATTTTCTTTTTTTACCTGAGAGATTACTTCTGATCTGATTTTTTTCCTTAGCCTGATGGAGTCGTTTCTTTACTTCAGTTCCTATGATCTCAGACATTTCTGGTGTGTGATTTCTGAATTCTTCTATGATGTCTCATAGTCTTGTTTCAGTTGGACTAGAAGTTTCTGGCCCTTCCTTTTGTCAGTTTTGAAGCCTCCATGTTTTCCCTGACTCTGTAGTGATGGTAGGGGTGAGGGATATGTGGGCAAGGCTCTCAGGAGACTGAGAGGGCAGGCTCTCCAAAGCTCCTGCTGTGTGGGCTTCAACGTGGCTTCCACCCTGTGGTGGGGAGGGAGGCAATCGCAGTTCGAGAAGGATCTGAGGATGATGCGTGCACAATGAGGTGCTGCAAGGCTCTCTTGCTGGTAGGTTTTCCCAGAGGTGGCCTTCCCAAGTCCCTGGCAGCCCCCTGTGGTAGTCAGCTCTCCCTGGTGATCTTCAGGGCAATGGTAGGTGGCCAGGCCCAGCAGAGCCCAGTGGCCAGCTGTGGTGGTTTTGCTGGCTTTCCAGATCTCCCCACTAGTCTTTATGGTGAGGAGTGGTAGCTGGACTCCTCTATCCATTTCTTCTAGGTTTTTAAATTTGTGGGCAGATAGGTGCTTTTAATCACCTATAATGATCCTTTGTATTTATGGGGTGACAATTGTAATGTGTCTTTTTTCATCTGTGATTTTGTATATTAGTGTCTTCTCTCTTTTCCCTTTTTTCTTAGGTAGGTTGTTTTATTTTATTCACCTGAAGAGAAAGGACATATGCCAGGATGAGAAGCTGGGCTGTAGGTTGCTGCCTGTGTGCAGAGCACATCCACAGTGGGGTCAGGAGACAGGACACAGGGTTCTTGCCACTGCTGGGTGTCCTCATAACAGCCCAGCTCTGCGTTCTGAAGCAACTTCCTTCACCTGTGATCTGTTCTGTCCTGCGCAGAAGAAACTCAGAGAGGAAGAGGCAGAGTCTTTGTGTGGTGCCCAAGTGCAGTCCTCGTGGCCCAGCCCCACCAGGCATCCCCGACTCCTAAGAACTCTTCACTGATGAATTTACACATGAGCTGCTCCTACTGCTCCTGGTCAGGCTGAAACCAAGGGAACCAGCTCACATATAGGTCCTGCCCCTCATGCACTGTGTCTCTTGTGAGACCCAAGGCCACAGGGCAGAGGCGCAGTCCATCCAGACTTAGTCCAAGTTCATAGCTCTGAGGCCAGGGCCCTGGGAAGCTGTGGTGTCGAGTTTGTTTAATTTGGGGAGGGCTTCAGTTTCTCCCACCTCTCCCAAGGGAAGGCCTCTTCTACCTTGGGGAAGAGTATGGAGTCAATTCTGATTCTTTAAAGGAGCTTTGCTTTTGATTATCCTAAATACAGGTGCTATTGTCCTCTCCTCTGGTCTCCTTAGTGCTTTTGAATGTATTTTTTTTCTACATGGGAAGTTCGTTTTTGAAATAATGCTGGAACAGGCAGTGAGTCACTCCTGAATGTACACCCATTTTTCTTTTTTAAGCCAACAGCAATAACTTCTCTACTGCACACTGCATTGGTCAGCTTTCTTCACTGACCATCTCTGATGGAATCTGCCTAAAAGGAGGGAAGGTTTGCTTTACCTCATGTCTCAGTGGTTTCAGTGCATGTTGTGTTGCCTTTGACTGTGATGAGACATCATAGCATGCAGAGAGAGTATGACCAGCAGTTGCTTAGCTTGTCACAACCAGGGAAAGGAGGTTAGAGGTGGGGGG